TGCTGAACTGATGGAGGCCCTGGAGCTGCCGGTTTCCAGAGATTCCCACCTGCTCGCGAGGATTCCAGGGCTCACCCAGGTGTCAGCATTTGTAGGGTTTGTGCTCCACGTGGTGGCCATTCTTGGGAACTGCACGTCCCGGTAAGAAGAAAGGTGCCCCAGGAGACCTGGAGTCCATCCCAGCTTCCTCCCTCCCCTCCAGGGGGTGTTAGGGCCTGGGTCCTCCAGGGGATGAGAAGCCCCCCTTCCCCCCAGCCCCCACTCCCTCCTCAGTCCCAGAAGAAGGATCTGAAGATGAGCATGGGGCAGCCCTCTGGAAATGAGACTTTGGGGAGAGTGGCTAGAGAGGTGCGGGGGGTGGGGTGGGGGGGCCCAAAGTGAGATGCACCCTCCTATCATAGCAGGCCTAAGTTCACCCCTACACCCTCCCAGCCTCCAGAGACTACAGAATATCTGATGCTTCCCTGGCCCCAGGACTGGCCACTGGAGGCAACTCTCCCACTGCTGTGGGTCTACAGGCAGGGAAGGGGATGGAGCGTGTGCTCAGAGCTGAGTCTGGGCAGGAGTGCTAAGAAGCTGGGGGCTCAACCTGGGGACAGGAGGAGGGAAGGCATCACCTGCAAAGGGCTCCAGTGGGTCAGAGAATCACTGAGTCAAAATGGCCCTGGATCGCTGGGTGACCCCAGGGGTCACTTTTCTGAGCCTCAGTTCTCTCCTCTGTAACCTGAGCTTCACGAGCTTACTGGAATGATTAGCAATGATATCTGTACAGACTAGGGTGATATAAAAATATTTAATAACTGGCACAGCATGGATACTGACCAGTCAGATGAGATCTCAGCCTTAAACCCTTGAGTTCAGCCACGCAGACAGTGCCAGCTTACTGCCCAGGGTAAAGCCCCAGCGCTTCTCCTGGCACGTGGCAGGCATTCAACAATGCTGACTACCAGTATTACAGTTATTATTACTTTCTGCAGTCCCAGGGAGCAGAGTCCAAACCAATGGATAGAAACTGCAGAGAGAAAACATTTACCTCTGGCTTCAAAGTGTGGTGGGAAGGGTGAAAACAACAGGTGAGTGGATGTCTTCCAACTTGGGTCAGAGAGTTCAGAGAGGATCCCCCAGAAGGGGGGCAGTCAGTAAGCTGCCCGTCCCTGGTGGTATACAGGCAGGGGCTGCTGTAAAATTGAGCCAATCAAGGATGGAGCTGGGCTGGGGGCCTAAGTGCAGATGCTAAGGGGCAGCAGGGAAATCAGTGAGGACAGTAGCTGGACTGTGAGGCAATAAAGAATGGTGAGGACTACAGCAAACTGCAGATCTTGAATGGGATCTGCAGGGGCAGCTGCGACTTAGCTGCAGCCAATTGTTTCTCTTTTAAAAATTTTTTTTTAATATATATTTTTGGCCACACCACACAGCATGTGGGATCTTGGTTCCCTGACCAGGTATCAAACCCGTGCCCCTTGCATTGGAAGTGTGGAGTCTTAACCACTGGACCACCAGGGAAGTCCCAGCCAATCGTTTCTATTAAGAGACAGCCAACCCCAATGGCCAGATCTTCCATTTTTCCAAGAGAAGCGAGAAATCCTGGTTTTTATGTGAAATCCCCCCAGGTTTTAAACATTAGCTCAGTTTTGCAAAATGCCACATGGGCATGTATGACCTCCTTGTGCAGGCCCTGGGAGGCCACGCCTCCCCTGTAGGCCTCACTCACCGGCCGGGCCCGTGGGCCTTCTCCTTTGGGGCCCGGGGTGGGCGAGAGGGAGGGCGTCAGGGAGGAAATCCTCGTTCCAGGGCGGTGGGGTGCTCTGGGGGGTCGGCAGGTCATTGTCAGGGCCCGAGGGCCGCTCTGCTGCTTGCAGAAGGAGAACCTGGGCCAGAAAAGGGCAGAGGGTCAGGCCCAGGCCAGGCCGGGGACACATGTGAATGGGAACGTGTGCCCCAGGAGACCAGCAGCTGCCCACTGCTCTTGGGACCACCAGTCCCCTCGCTGGAATGTTCTCCCACCCCTGCCCCCCTCCCCTTCCCATTTCAGGAAGCCCTCCTGACCCTTGGGCTCAGGCGGGTCCCCTTTGGACACGTTCAGAGTCACCGTACTTTTCTCCTAGAGCGGCTATCACTGGGATTAGACAGTGGTTGTTGGAATAACGACCACGGTCACCTCCACTTCACCGGCTCCTCTCAAGGGAGGGACTGGGCCCACCTGTCCCCCACACTGCCTGGCTCAGGGCACAAACAACGCAGTCAGGGAATGTTTGTGTATGAACAGATGGATGGAAGGAGGGAGGAAGGAAGGAAGGGAGGGAGGAAGGGAGGGAAGGAGGGAGGGGCAGAGGGAAAGAAAGGGAAGGGGAAGGGAAAGAAAAGAAAAAAAGAAGAACAAAGAGAAGAAAAGAAGGAGGAAGAATAAATAAATGGGCCCAGCTTGACGCATGATATTTAGCAGGAGCTCCAGAGAAACAGAAGTGGCCATGGTCACTCAGGGCCAGCCTGGAAAGCAGCCTGTCCTCTCCCCTGGAGGAAAGCAGGGGTCAAAAACCGAAAGGACCCAGGGCCTCAGTGGGAGACTCTCCCTAATTCACGTGAACTGGGAGCCAGGAGGCCTCAGACAGGCCCTGCTGTCCCCAAAGAGGCTAGCAGGGGGCGCTGCGTGCCCAGGATCTGCACAGGGCAGGCAGGCAGATGCTAGCACACAGTAGACCCACCCACCCCAGCAGAGGGGGCCCTGCGGTTCCCGGGCCATATCAGATGGAGCCCGGCTTCCTGTCCCGATCTGCCAGACAGGAAGGAAGAGGCCCAGTGTCTCACGGCCCTTCCCGCTCTTAGAAACCTGGATCCCGCGTCCTGCTAGAGCCTTCGACTCAGTGTGTGAGATGAAAGTGTTCTGAGGATGGGGCTGAGGGTGGGCCTGTCTGGGCACAC